GCTCTGACACTATCTGCTCAGAGAAAGTCAGATACCACGGCTTAAGGACTCAGTCCCAAAGACTATCCTACTTCTAGTGCAAACGCCAAACTCTAGTCTATTACCTGTGTTTCTGACCAGACATAAGACAAACATTAGTTCATTTTCTGCTGCTATAACAAAATATCTGAAGCTAGGTATTTAACAAAGAAAATGGGTTTAGCTCAACAATGGAGGTTCAAAGGCATGGTGCCAGCTTCTGCTCAATTCTCATAAAGGCTTCCTGGTAATATCAGGCTCAACTCCGGGATTTGGGAGAACACAGTTTAACAATATTTCTTCAGCTGTCTCTTTAAATTTTTTTATTGTTATTGTTATCTGTGTTTGCTTTTGTTTGTTTCGGATGGAGTGTTTGGTTTTGACTTTTGCCATACTGGCAAAACATACTGGGTGAGAAACAAGACCTGCTGAACAAGTGTTCTTCCTACCACCGATCTATACCTCTCAGCTCTTTCCTGCTGACTTTGGGAGTCTCTAAAACAATTCCTCAACCTGATCCATGCTGCTGCTTGGCTGTGGCATCATATTGAAATGGAACCTGCCTGTAGAATGCATGCAGCAACCTTCTAATTAAATCTGTTCCTGTGACCTTCCCAACTATTCCCCCCACACCCCGGCCCCAACCTTGGGTGAGACATGAAGACTAGAGAAGTGGCTGATGTCTAACACCCCTTCCTTGGGGTGATTGGCAGGCTTACCACTAGAGCACATGGCATGACCAAGCTAGCTCCTTTCTCCTTGTGAAACAGGAGGATTCCTTTCGACTTTTTATCTCATAGTCTGCTGAGTTCCTGCAAGTAAAACCCACAAAAGTGTAGGCCCCTAAGACTGGGCCTGGACCACTACTGGCCTTCAAGCACTGGCTACCATCTTTTCCCACTGCTTACTCTGTGGGCTCAATTGCAGGTGAGCTGGTTTCTCTATGGCTCACCTCATCTCCTTCTCATATTGGTGGAGTCCTCATGTCCTTGATTTCCCGATAAGCTTAAGTCACTGATTCTCAGTCTGCATCCTTATAACTAACAGTTGATTACAAACATTCCTGTCCCTGTCCTGGAAGTTCCCATTCTTCTATAACCATGAAGAATGTTCTTATACCTACTCCAAGTCCTGCTCCCCAAGGGTCCCTGGGCATGCCATGGGTAACATGGCAGACATAGCCTACTAAGAGTTTGTTGTTTGAGCCCAGAAATACCAGAAGGCCAGTGTCATTCACCCAAACTAGGAGAAACCATCCAGGGGAGACCCAGCCTAGGCCATTGCAGCCCTAAAAACTGGTCTCTCCAGTCCAAAGGTCCAGACATGTCCTTTGCTACAGATGGAGGTCATTTTGCCTCTCTCCCTCATGACTGCTATCTTGAGAGGCTAACTGAGTGCCAGGATTATTAGAATGAGCCATCATACCTGGCTTTATCTCTGTTCTTAGTTTAATATTTTAACTTATAAGTTCACATGATTCAATTTTAATAAGGGCGGTTTTTGACACCTAACTCCCAAGATTCCTAGATATTTGACAACCAGTTCTTAGTGCACCATGAAGTGAGGGCCACACTACTGATGCTAGAGAGGACCAGGTAGGTGTCTTAGTTGCTTTCCTATTGCTGTGATAAAACATGATGGACAAAGGCAACTTGTAAAATAGTGTTTCAGCTGGGCTTGTAGTTTCAGAGGGTTGGAGTCCATAATAGCAGAGCAAAGGCATGGCAGTTAGAAAAGCTGAGAGTTTATAAATTGATTCTTAAGTAAGGGGCAGAGAGAGAGAGAGAGAGAGAGAGAGAGAGAGAGAGAGAGAGCACAGGAAATTGCACAAGTCTTTTGAAACCTCAAAGCCTGCCCCAGTGACATACCTCCTCCAACAAGTTCTACCAACTTACATATTCAAATATATAAGACGATGTAGGGCATTAGCATTCAAATCACTACATCAGGCTGAGGAGACTCAGAGTTCAGGCCTACGAGGAAACATTCCTGAATACAGGCCTCCTATAGGTAAGTTTTGCTAGAGACAGATTGTTCTCCTATTAGAGTCATCCAAGAGAATTGATATCATGCAGATGTTGCTACTAAGGCCCAGAAGCACCACTCATAGACTCCCTACTGCTCAGCCCTGTGACCCATACCAACCATAGATTTCAAAATAGATGGCAAAGCTATAGTAATCAAAACAGCCTAGTACTATTATAAAAACAGATAGCTCAGTCAATAGGAAGTGAGCCCAGAAATGGAACCAAATCAATTAATTTTTTTCACAAAAGTACCAAGAACACACAACATGGTAGATGTCTATCTACATACTGCAGAAAGAAAACAAACCTAATCTCAACTCTTGTGTAAGAACCAATTCCAAGGGGATGATAGGATTAAGACTTGGAACTAGAAAATATAGGAAGACAGTTTCCCATATTTTAAAGTAAAAAGTCTCATATGAATATGGTTTCCTAACATCCTGAAAAGTCCAAGTGTGCTGAGTGGTGGTGGTGCACCCCTTTAGTCCCAGCACTCAGAAAGCAGAGTTAAGTAGATCTCTGTGAGTTTGAGACCAGCCTGTTCTACAAGAGCTAGTTCCAGGACAACATCCAGAGCCACAGAGAAACCTTGTCTCAACCCCCCCAATAATAATAATAATAAAATGTCCAATTGCTCCTATGGTTTTGTCCTGAGTGCCTTTCCACAGAGGCTCTGGTACTAACCTTGGACACTCCTGTCTTGCTTACAACCAAGGATGTTCTATTTTGTATTGGTTGGGGTAAGCCTGAGATAGGCTACTTGGAAGAGGTAAGTATCTGGGTAGAAAGGAAGAAAAGGTAGAAAGAGGAAGAAGAGGCTGGCAAGGGCTAAGCCGAGGGCTCCTCGGCCATAGAGTAGAACGGAGGCCTCAGCAGTAGGTGCCCACCATTTAGGGAGGGAGATGCAAAACTTGGGTGCTGCTCCCACAGGAAGAGCTCCTGATGGGGATGCTGTACCCCAACAAAGCATGCTGCTGCTGCCCCCAAAGCATGCTGTATGAGACATGGACAAAGCTGCTGACATGAAAGTACCAAGCACTGTGATCATAGGTCAGGAGGGCTGTAGGGCAAGCCAAGGATGTTGACCATGGTAGAGCAACCCTGGGGTCCTGATCTGACCCAGGCAATGACATGGGCTTGATCTTTCTTTGATTTCTGTGTATGTCAGAGACCATTGGAAAGGCAAAAATGAGAACAAGGGAAAAAGAACAGAGGACTTGTATGGATGTCAGTCAGACCACCTTGGGTATGCCTCTCCTCTCTGGTCCTTCATTTCCTCAGAGTCTCCACTGACCTTGTTTCCCCAACTGGGTACGTGATGGCATTCACAGAAGAATGCAATTTTTAGAGGAACCAAGCTACCCAGGGAAGGTGGCAGGAGACCTCTAAAGAGGGCAAGAGAAAGGGAGGCTAGCCTTGGACCCTGTGCTGTGATCTCCTTACTCTGTCTCTCTCTCTGAGAGAATAGTTTGAGCTACCAACTCTCATATGACTCCAAAATCAAATATATGGTTGAATCTGCCTGCACTGTAACAGTACAGCCAGCAGCTGTGACACACGCCTTGAACACCAGTGAAGGGTTGACTCTGGCTACCTAGGAAATACAGCTCCAGGAATATCTATGGGGCAGAGGCATGGTGACTCACATACTTGCTCCTTTGCTCACACATACTCATGCTCACACTCAAGATTCATGCACTTACACAGCCACACATGCACACTCACAGGCTTACATAATCTTTCTCTTCACACATGCACACAGATGTGCTCACATACATACACATACAGTCAGTCAGGTATTCTTCTGAGATACAACAACTCCCCACATTTTAAGGAGCCCATGTGCCTTTCAGTCCCTAGACTATCAAAGCAGAGTGGCCACACTTCAGCTTTGTCATGGAGAAGCATGGCTGAGGTGTATAACCAGTGAACAGAAATCACCCATGAATGAGGCAGGGCTGGAATGTTTAGAGGCAAAGTTGGCCCTGGGACAGCTTGGACCAAGATCTCAGGGCTGAGCACTGAGGTTTAAGATGTCCAGGGTTGGGCTGCTGATATGAAGGTGAAAATACAGTTCTGAGGCTGTCAAGGTTCATGTCTCCTGGGAAGTTGCAAGTAGTGTGGGAAGCATTGAATGTGAACATGTGGGAGCCAGAGGCCAGGGTGCATGGATTGAAAGGGTTGCTCCTGCAGCAATAGGAGCTGGGTGTCCCAATTAAGATGGAGACTGGGAAAGGCTACCTCCCCCTGGGAGGAATATGGAGAAATGAGTTCATCAGGTCCAAGAAGAACTGGCAGTGAGAAGCCCCCAAGGAAGGCCCATGGAGAAGGGACTGTGCTATGGACCAGGCCCACTGTGAGTCAGAGGACTGACTGGGCTGGTGGTATACCTTGAGAGACTTGTGTTTGAGAACACAAGTTCCCATTGCCTGGACTTATGGAAGGAGATTCTGGCACCTGGACTGGCCCAGGACCTATGTAGGTATTAACAAAATAGTCACTTTCAAATTCACTTTGCTGAGACATGGAAGTATCTGCTGTTCACACTGCAAACCATGGTGCCCCTGGGCTAACTGCAGAGTAGATGAGAATGATTACTTGAATCTTTGCCTCTTAAGCTCACAGTGACTTCAGTTTCCACTCATTTGCTCATTCACTGAGCATGAAGCCAGCTCTAGGTAGTAAGTGTCAGTGATACAGCCTAAGCAAGCCTGGAGAACTCATCATCCAGTAGGTTTCCAGGCTCCCTCTGGAGTCAAGACACAGGTAAGCCTGTATTCACAGAAAACCTTGAGTTACACACCATCAGTCAGTGTCCTCCTAGGATTCAGGGCCAGCTGGGCACCCTGCAAGAATTACACTTGAAGTGTGTGTGATACCAAGACTGAGTGGACTCCAAAGCTTCTGAGGCCAGACAGGTGGAGCCACAGACCAACATGTGTGCCACCCCTCCAGGTGCTTCTCTGGTCAGCCAATAAGGTATTTGAAGAGCTGACAGACATCGAAAGGCAGTTCCACAAGGCCTTCTACACTGTTCGGGCCTATCTAAACTGTGACCGGTACTCAGTGGGCCTCCTGGACATGACCAAAGAGAAGGTGAGGTTGCAAACTTTCAGGTGCCTCCTTCCCAGTGTGGCCCAGCTCATAGGCTGAGTGTTCCCTTCTCTGTTCTTCTCTGCCCAGGAATTCTTTGACATCTGGCCTGTGCTGATGGGGGAAGCCCAGCCATACTCAGGCCCACGAACACCCGATGGCCGGGTAAGTGAAGCCGACAGGTGGGAAGCACCCCACATCTGGCTACCCTGGATCCAAATCCATGAAGAGGATGGGGAAATGGGGTAGCCTCAAATACCTATCTGCTCTCATCAGCCTGCACTGCCCCAATGAGGGTGGACTCTCTAGATCTGCTTTAGCTTGTTGGAGCTCCTACAGATATTGACATATTTACACATGAATTTTAGTGTATGTGTGGGTTATGGGCCAAGTAGGTGAGAGGCTAAATGTGATATAGAAAGGATAGATCTAAACCTGGCTGTGCAGTATATATCTATGAGTATGAGTGCGAGCGAGAGAGAGAGAGAGAGAGAGAGAGAGAGAGAGAGAGAGAGTAAACATATACAAATTCTAGAAAGTAAGTATTAGCTTGGGACTAGAGACATGGCCCAGTGGTTGAAGTGCTCTCTGTGTAAGCATGAAGGTCAAAGTTCAGATCCCCTGCAGCTACATAAAAGTCATCAGGATTGGTGGCCCATTTGTCATCCCTGGGCTAGTGAGACTTCGACAAGAGATCCTTTAGGAAATCTGGCTAGCTGGACAGACTGCATTGGCCAGCTATAGGTTCAGTGAGAGACCTTGCCTCAATAAAGTGGAGAGTCAGTAATCACCCAAAATCAACTTCTGGCCTCACACATGCACCCACATACCTATGAATATGTAGACACACACACACACACACACACACACACACACACACACACACCAGACACAGACATACATATATAATCACATTGGTGCTGTGCTTGATGTGTCTGAATGGGCGCTGTTCTCTTTTCCCTACACGATGTGTTTTCTTTCTCAGGAAATTGTCTTCTACAAAGTCATTGATTATATACTCCATGGCAAGGAAGATATCAAAGTCATTCCGTAAGTGCTGGGGTTTGACAAGTGGCTCTCCCCAGCATGGAACATCCTCAAACCCAACCTCTGGATTAGTTATCTCTGGAGCACCTATGTAGAGCCAGCAGGGCCTTCCCAGGACAGTGAGGAGGAACATGAGCAGATGAACAGGAAGTGACCAGCCTAAGGCACTTAGCTATCTGAAGCAGTCAGGTGAGCTGTCCAGGTGGCCCTATCAGCAGCAACGCAACCATCTCAGCCCTGGCAGGTAAAGTAGACTTCAAAGGAAAGTCTAGTACAGAGCACAGGCCTAGAGGGACAACGGTCCTATGACTAGAGGTCAGTGGCTCCACGAAGGGAGTAGGATTCAGGTATCAGGACTGCAGGACAGGTAGGCAACACTGACTCTCCAGAGGCCAGCTGAAGTCAGGAGCCTCCCTGCAACGTGAACCATGGGAGGAACCTCCACCTGTCCTGCAGCTCTCATCACTTTCCCAGCCCCACCCCACCTGAGCTCAGAGAAGGGAACTAAGTGAACTCAGACACTGTTTCATCCAGCAATCCAAGCATCTATTCCTGACCTCTGTTCTTTTCCCACAGCACACCCCCAGCTGACCACTGGGCCCTGGCCAGTGGCCTTCCAACTTATGTAGCAGAAAGTGGCTTTGTGAGTGCTCCCCTCCAGGCCTTGGCCTGTAGTTGTCAGTGCTGCAATGCCTGTTGGCCTGCCGCCTCCCATTAGCCCTTCTGCTAGCTGCTGCTCATCTTGCCCCATTAGAGGCTCCGCTCCAATAGCAAGGCTAAGTAGACTAGTGCTTGTGTCTAAGGGTGCAGCGGCTCAGAATGGCATTGCTTCTGATCCTTCCCAGATCTGTAACATCATGAACGCTTCAGCTGATGAAATGTTCAGCTTTCAGGTAATCTGCCTACTCATTGTTAGAAACTGCATTTTCCTTGAAAAGGGGGTGTATATAGTGGGTTGAATTAGGTTTTTCCACTTAAGGGACAACGTTGTGGGGCTGGGGCTCAGTAGGTAAAGTGTTGTCTATGGAAGGAAACACGAGGATCTGAGTTCAGATCCCCAGCACCCATGGGGAAAAAATAAAATAGATATGGTAGCATGTTTACATATAATCCCAGTGCTAGGTTGGGGGGGGTGAGAGTAGGCAAGACAAGATGATCTTGGGTTTAGTGGCCAGCTAATATAGCCAATCAGTGAGCTCCAGTTTCAGTGAGAGGCCCTAGCTCACGAAATGAAGTGACAAGCAATAGAGGAAAACATTCAACATGAACTTCTGGCCTCCACATGCACACATGTGTATGACGGACACAAATAAAACAACTTCACTCATATATGTAATCCTATCACTCAGAAGGCTGAGGCAGAAGGATTGCGGCAAATTAGTCCCAGGCCAACCTGGACTAAAGAGTGAGATTTTGTCTCAAAAAGCAAAAGAAAAATAAAAGAAACAATTTAGTTCTCAGTGACTGAGAAACCATACAATAAATGTGTATTTGTGCTTCCAAGTCTACAGTTGAGCTGATTTTATGTGGGCTGTTAGTTTCAGTCCATCTTGACTGGACTTGGGTGATCTTGTCTTGTCTCAGCTGACCCTATCTGGTCTCAGTTGATCTTGGCTGGACTCAGAAAAGCTTATCTGGGCTAAGTGGATCCTGTCTGGTCTCAGCTGGTCTAGTCTGGTCTTAGTTTATCTTCAAAGGGTTCATCTGGGCTCAGCTTGTCTTCATTATGTGCCCAGGAAATCAGCTAATCTTTGGGCTCAATCAACCCTGGTAGAACTCAGCTTAATTTTCTTTGGTATCACTTGATTGAACCTGGTCTTGTGAAGTTCTCTGGGCTGGGACTAGGAGGGTTTAGAGTTTCTCTGCTCTACCTATCTTCATCTGGGGTTTGGATAAACATGCCTAGGGCCACATATCAGTTTTCTGAGGGAGGTCATGTTAGTAGGAACACACTTTGTCACTGACAGCCTCTTGGAGGAACTGGCCATATTTCATATCTGAAGACAAAATAAACCAACTACATAATGTTCAAAGTCCAATGTAAAGTGGAGGGTCCATATGCTGATCAATTAGTAAATGCTTTGAGAGCAAGACTTCAGAGTACTTCTAAGAAGCACTGGTGGGGACTAGAGCCCTCACATCCGCTGGTGTTTACTCGGTGGGGAAATGGCTTCCTCCAGTCCAGAAGATTATGACGCAAAGCCCATGAGCATGAAGTTCACAGACAAGTGAGAGGGAAGACGCAGCTTCAAGCTCTGAACACAGCTCGAGGGCAGAGAAAGTGGGGTCTATCCTCACCCCCAGGCACCCAATCTTACCAGACCTCATTCTTTCTCTGCTCCATGTAGGAGGGGCCCCTGGATGATTCTGGGTGGGTGATCAAGAACGTTCTCTCCATGCCCATTGTTAACAAGAAGGAGGAGATTGTGGGGGTGGCGACCTTCTACAACAGGAAAGACGGGAAGCCCTTTGATGACCAGGATGAAGTTCTCATGGAGGTTAAGTATCCTGTACCACAAGTGGGCCAATGTGTCCATCTATGATGGTTTTGGACATCAGTGAGTGTTGACCCTCTCCACACCTGTTTAGCATGAAGTCAGGGAGAAGGGGACAAGGATAGTTTCCAAAGTTCTGTCTCTGGAGGGCTCATTCAGGGGCAACCAGTGTACTGTAGTAGTCTGGGAAACTGGCCACCGAGCCACAGGTATAGAACATAGTAAACATTTACCAGAGTGATTAGTAATGGGCTGACACTGCTGTCTACCCCCAGTCTCTGACACAGTTCCTGGGATGGTCAGTGCTGAATACCGACACCTATGACAAGATGAACAAGTTGGAGAACCGTAAGGACATCGCCCAGGACATGGTTCTGTACCATGTGAAATGCGACAAAGATGAAATCCAGGAAATCTTGGTACTGTGCCTGGCATTCCATGGGGCCCCTCTGTCTAGGGAGGCAGGGAGTTAGGTGATAAGAACATATCCCTGGGGACTAGGCCAGGTCTAACTCTAATACTACACACTGTACAACCCAGACACTGCCCCTATGGATCATCCTAAGCGGTGAGCAGGTGTGACCAGAGCCTTCCTATCTGTAATCCATGTGTTACTAAGGACTGCACAGGGAAAGTAAAGAAAGTTGGAGTTCCCAGAAACTGACCACTTACATCTGGAATTGAGGATGTCTGAACACAAGCTGACTGCTGTCTTTTAATGATCAGGAGCCCTGTGTTCAATACATTCCACAATGGCACACCATCATTCTGTGACATTTACAGGGTGAAGGTGATGTTGTCACTGACACATGGGTAGAGGTGACACCACCACTGACACACTTAGGGCTGAGCAGGATACTGCAATTCTGTCACATGAGGTGAAGGCTAAACAGTCACTTTGTCATAGTCATAGGGTAAAGATGACCCTATCACCTTATCTGTTGTGGGGGAATGATAATGAATTCACTATGTAACACTTGTGGAATTAAGGGGTTACTGTCAGCCTGTCATTCCTTGGGTAAAGGTGATATTGTCAGCCTATGATTTGGAGTATAAGTGAAGCTGTCACTCTGTCATATAGGGTAAAGTGGCACTATCACTCAGTCCCACAATTCACCTGTTGTTCTCTGTTAGCCAACAAGGGATCGCCTGGGGAAAGAGCCTGCTGACTGTGAGGAGGATGAGCTGGGGAAAATCTTGGTGAGAACCTGCTTCCAGTGGGCACAAGCTCCCCTGACGAGCAGGAGAGAGCCCTGCACACACAGCATCCTCTCAGGACATTAGTGCTACCTGTGTAGGAATGTCAACACTCCCCAACAGAGGTGACAATACTGGCTCTGGGAGTGTCCAGATGGAGCTTACTTGATATCTGCCCTGCTGAATGTCTCTCTCTGCCTTCTCTGTGTTTCCCAGAACTATCCATGTTTTAGCTTCCGCAGGCACAACTCAGGCCACGTGTCCATCTGTGCTGCCTCCCTACAGGAGTAACCATGTGCTACAGCCCCTAGTTTAGATATATCTGTGTTTATGTGTTTACATACTTCTGTGTGCACTTGTGTATTCATGCATGTGTGTGTATAGGCACATATAGACACATGTCTGTGTGTCTCCCAGACAATATCCCTACATCAACTTGACAGTTACGAGACACCTACCTTTTTCTGTCACCTGTGTGTCTTACTGGATAGTTTTGGAGTTTATTAATGAATTCAACATCTCCTAAACACCAATGTCTCTGTGTGCTGTGAGTGTGTACATATGTGCCCATGTGTCCATATGGGTAGGTCTGAATCCATATATGTGCCTCAGTAACTTTTCATGTATGTATCTTTGTTTGCTTTTCCAACGTCACTGCTACCAAGTCAGGCAAGCTTCTCACAGTAGGGTCACCTGGTGGGTGGAAACAATAGAATAGGAAGGGTTGGGACAATGAGTGACCTAGCTGTAAGTTTGAGTAAATGGAAGACCAACAACACCAGAGATATCCGAGTGTTTGCTTGGACAAGGGTTAAGAAAAAAAGAAAGGTTAAGAACCAGTGGGGATGTGGTAGGGCCTGCTTCTTTCAGCCTGTAATCTCTCTTACAGAAAGAAGAACTCCCAGGGCCTACCAAGTTTGACATTTATGAATTCCACTTCTCTGATCTGGAGTGCACTGAGTTGGAGCTCGTCAAATGTGGCATCCAGATGTACTATGAGCTGGGTGTAGTCCGAAAGTTCCAGATCCCCCAGGAGGTGGGAAGATACAGCTGGAGGTTCCAGAACAAGAGGAGGTGGAGGGGTGGTTAAGGGTTACAAATCCTCAAGGAGGTGAAAGGCATGTGCCACTGGGGGGCGGGGGGTCCATGTGTCCTGCTGAAAGTGTTGGTGGCAAACATGTCCATCATAGAATCAGTGAAATATCAAACATACCTAGAATAAGTGATTGGATGGATGGATGGATGGATGGATGGATGGATGGATGGATGGATGGATGGAAAGTTTCTTTATTAGGTGTTCCAAACATTTTAATTGGAGCATCCTTTACCTACTTATGGAAAAATAGGAAGTTTGTCATAGGATCCTGAGGGAATTGCAGCAGCTGCTTACCAGAATAGAAAACACACAGCGTCCTCTAGGTTTGCCTACAGGAGAGCCCTCAGGAATCACCACCAGGAGGAAGGGAAGGTTATTCCAGCTCAGAGCCCCACCACTCTGCTCTCTCTCCGAGCTTCTCACTCTGTCTCGCATCCACCTCCACACCTGTGTCCCCACAGCCCACGTAAGGAATGAATAGTCTCTCATGCTCCCCAGAAAACAAGAGTGGCAGGCTTCCAGAAAGAAGTTTTACTAAATTCTAAGGGAAACAGAACAGAAAGAAAATTGTGCAAAAACATCACCAGGATCAAAATATTTCCAAATAATTATTTGACCTTAAATATCATAATGGAAATAGCAGAGCACCTCCTTAGGCCGCATCCCCTTTCTCTAAGAAAATGTCAGGGTGTTCCACCTTCTTGTTCACAGACCACATTTTGGATCCATTCAAACATTCAGGCCTAAAACTAATGTTTTTGTTTTGTTTTTCTTTTTAGTTTGTTTCTCAAAGTATCTCACATTCCAGGGGTCCTCTTTCCATTGTGGGTCTGGGCCATGGAGATAGTTTCCAATGGCTGGAGCTGTTCTTAGCTCTACTATGTGAGAGCCCTTCCCAAACAGAAAGGGTCCAATGGGAACAAGGAACAAGGGTTCTGAGGCCAACAAGTTAGAAGTAGGAAACAGGAAAATGGGCATGGCAAGCTCCACTACAAGCAGTTTTCAAGGCTTGGGTGGATTCTCAAGTGTTGTTCTGTAGACTCATGTGTGGGTCCTAGAGCCTACATGTCCTCTGCTCCCCCAGGTCCTGGTGCGGTTCCTGTTCTCTGTCAGCAAAGCCTATCGGAGAATTACCTACCACAACTGGCGCCACGGTTTCAATGTAGCCCAAACCATGTTTACGCTACTCATGGTATGTATGTAGATGGGATGGGGTAAGATGATTCGTGGTGCTGGGGCTAAGACCACTGCTAACTACTTTCCAGTCCAAGGATATCCGTTGTGCTTGTCCAGTCCTGGCAATGGGTGGAAGGGACCAGGGTGGGCAAAAGAATGGGTTTGGGCCAGCCCCACATTCCCTTCAACCTCTGCTTTCTGGAGCCAGATAGCTGGGCCAGTGGAAGGACCCTGAACTGGACTTCTCTCCACAGACAGGCAAACTGAAGAGCTATTACACAGACCTGGAGGCCTTTGCCATGGTTACAGCTGGCCTGTGCCACGACATTGACCACCGTGGCACCAACAACCTGTACCAGATGAAGTAGGCTGTGGGGAGGGCAGGTTCTCGATGGGCATGGCAAACCATAAATCAAGCTCCCTTAGGGGTCAGTCTTTGAAGTCTGGCAGTCAGGACTTAGAAGGGCTACCTTGAAGGCACAGTTCCAGGTGGGTCAGACCCATCTTACTGCCTTCTAACATTTTGTTGTGTCTTCTTTTTAAATAAAATATGCAACAGATCCCAGAATCCTCTAGCCAAGTTACATGGCTCCTCAATTCTAGAACGGCACCACCTGGAATTTGGGAAGTTTCTGTTGGCAGAGGAGGTTTGTTCCTGATTTGGTGATGGGTCCTCCTCTGGGCTGTGGCAGGCAGGCAGGAGGCCCTGGGCAACAGGGATTTATCAGTGTGAGGTGCTACAGGATAGGCTCCCATCTAAAGATGTTCCAGCATGGGGTAGAATGACTTTCAAGGGGAAGTAGCCAGGAATGGCCAGTAGCATGTATGACATCTATAAATGGGCAAATATAGCTGACCCAGGACCCTCCTAGGCAGAGGATAGAGATGGCTATCCTTGCTTAGAGACTGATGTGGCATCGCGTAGGCAAAGGCCAGGTTAGAGTGAGGGGAGTAGACAGAGTAGACCCTGAGAGTCAAAAGCAAGGGTACTACAGGCAACATCTGCCACAGCCCAACACAAACTGATGGTCCACACAGAGCCTGAACATCTACCAGAACCTGAACCGGCGGCAGCATGAACATGTGATCCACCTCATGGACATTGCCATCATTGCCACTGACCTGGCCCTCTACTTCAAGTAAGAATGCATCACAGGCAGGAGGGGTGGGTGGAGCCCTCAGCAGACATAGATAGCCGTGACCGATATGTCACCCACTCCTCCCTTCCTTTTGGGATCAGGAAGAGAACAATGTTCCAGAAGATTGTGGATGAATCTAAGAACTATGAAGACAAGAAAAGTTGGATAGAGTACTTATCCCTGGAGACCACCCGAAAGGAGATAGTCATGTAAGTGGTGGTCCTATGGTTGACCAGTTAGTCCCTAACCCCAGAGGTAGGGGACTCCAAAACTAGAGCAGCTCTCACTGAGCTGAACAAAGGCACTGGAGCAGCCTGTTGCGAGATTCGAGGACAGAGTTCAGCATCAATTAGGACCCTTCATCATCACTTGCTTCATCCTCAACTCCCCTGCTTCACCTACAAGGTGGTGGCTCAAGACCAGCACTTTCCCCAGGGCTGTCTCAGAGATGCTGAAAAAATGTGTTCACTCTGTTCTCAGAAGGACATGTAGTCTGCTCTGTCTGTCCACAGGGCCATGATGATGACTGCATGTGACCTGTCTGCTATTACCAAGCCCTGGGAAGTCCAGAGCAAGGTCAGGACTCATGACCATCTGGACTCAGTAACCCTTCACAGGCCACTCTGGGTCTTCACCTAGGGAGCTACAGGGAAATGTTACTGGTTTTTGAAGTATTGTCTGGGTACAGCAGTGAGAGGCACCAAATGAACACTGCCAGCAGAGCTTCACGGGGAGGGCCTACTGCTCCTGAACATAGAGCCCCACTATAACCTTTGTGTGTGCTCAGGTGGCTCTTCTGGTGGCTGCTGAGTTCTGGGAACAAGGGGACTTGGAGAGAACGGTCTTGGATCAACAGCCCATTGTGAGTGTTGCTTCCAGAGCTTCCATCTTGACATGTGAATTAGACATGTGAATTAGGTAGTGTTCCAGACACCAGGAATTTAAGGCCCTTGAGTCTTAACCTTGATTCGTGGGTTCCTTGACATGAGCATGGGTAATTTGGCATCTTGTAGGACAGAAATCATGAAAAATTGGAAGATCCAGGTTGCAGCTCACAAGCAAGAGCCCCCAGGGTCTATGCAGTTGCACAGTACATACACTAGGCAGGGCAGTCCAGGGAGGGCAACTTTGAGAAGGACAACCCTAGGGAAAGGGGGAGGAGTAGAGGTAGTAGTCCATGGCAAGATAGACAATGAGGCTGTTAGGATTAGAGGTGGGCCCACTGCTAACACCAGGGATGGTATCTATTCACAAAGGAACTGGGAACTACATAGGTTTGCGTTGACCACTTGGGGATATGGGAGGCAAAGGTTTTATCTCCCAAGCCAGCTCTTACTAATGTGAAGAACTGATTGGAGCAGGCTTTAGGCAAGGTACAGACTCAGCAAGAATGAGGCCTTTGCCAGCTAACAAAGTCTCATAGGGAGGAACAGCTCCCAAGTCATCTGCCCATGTTTCCTCCACCAGCCCATGATGGACCGGAACAAAGCAGCTGAGCTCCCCAAGCTGCAAGTTGGCTTCATCGACTTTGTATGTACTTTCGTGTACAAGGTGCGTATCAGACGTGTTATATGTTGGCTGGGGTGGACTGGCCAAGAGTGGGTAGGGAATGGGCTGGATCCAGAAGTGACCTTACAGGGACATTTGTGTGGTCTCCACCCTTACCTGATGGGGTAAGATGTACACAGCACCCATCTCAACATGCTCAGCAAATGTCCCAAAATTTGTGAATGTCCTTCAGAAGCACTAAGTACATCCCCAGAAGGTCCTTACTCACCTTGAGGTCTCACTTTAAATATCCCTGCCTCAGAGTGCTACTTTAACCACAGCAGGCACACTGTCTTCAGCAAAGTGACTGCAACTCACCTACTAGGTATCTGTGAAAATGAGAAGGCAAGCCTGAGTCTTTTCTCCATTGGCACATCCCAATACAGCCTGAAGAACATGATAGCAGCCATGTTCCCACTAGCTGGTCAGGCACCAATGTACTGCCAAGTCTTTGAGTTCTGTTATTTGATTGTAGGACATCAGACAGGAACTTGGAGAGACTCAAAAGATAGGTGTCTTTTGACACCTATCTGTACATGACACCTCAGCTCCACACCATTTGGTGGTGACAGACCCCCACATTGTAGGGCAGATGTGATTCCAAGGAAAGTCAGTCCTAAGCAGCCAGACAAGCAGGAGGTGGCGGCTCCTGCAGGGCCAGTCTCCCTCAGTTCATCTCCATCACCTGAAAGCAGTTGTATGGCTTGTTGAAGCTCCCAATCCCACTGCAGCCAACATTCTCCACTCTATTCTTGGGATGCTCACCCCACTAGCACCGTATCATAAATCCTTACACCCAACAGCTCCTTCTCACACAAGCTCCTCTCTTGTCCTCTTCCTCAAGGATTATCTGGAAAGGGGATGTCAGTGATTCCTTCCTATGGGTGACACTGCCTAGGGGGTCAGCCCCAAGTGAAATAGGCTGAGGGTGAGAGAAACAAGCTCTCTTGTGGGCCTGTAGCAAGCCACAGATCATGTGACCTGGGGATCGATAGTAGCCATCTTACAAGGGCCAGGGAGTGTGGGGCCTCACTTCACTGTCCCTATGACTTGTAAAATAAAATATGCTGCAGATGCCAGAGCATCCTCAGTCCAATGAGTCTGGCAGCAGGGAAGCCTGAGGCCTTGAAGAGCTACTCTTTGAGCCCTTCAAGAGCAGTGGGACAGCATAGTGACTTCTCAGTTCCCTCTAGGAATTTTCTCGTTTTCATGAAGAGATCCTGCCCATGTTTGACCGACTGCAAAATAACAGAAAGGAGTGGAAAGCGCTAGCTGATGAGTATGAGGCCAAAGTCAAGGCCCTGGAGGAAGAAAAGAAAAAGGAAGAAGACAGAATAGCAGCCAAGAAAGGTCTGGGCCCCTCAGAGGACTGGGCTGGGCTCATAGTTAACCCTTAGGTCAATGCTGTAATGTGGTAGAAAACCACCAACCAATCAGAAAGGCAGCTAATTCACATGTCCCAACAGTTGAGCCAAAGAATGCCCCATTCATCTATCCTGTCCTTCAAGAGGCACGGCAGCTCTCACCATGTAGGTAATAGATCAGACCGAAATGTTCTCTCACTGAGAGAGGAATATTTCTGTACGTGAGAAGTAAGCTCACTGAACTCCTATCAGCTCTTTTGTTCCAGTGAGTTCCTTTCCAGGTATGGTAGCACATGCCTGTAATTCCCCCCTCACCCCCCGCCCAACTATCCTCAGAAACAAAAGAACAAATCTGAACAAAACACAACAAAAAGGCAAAAACAAAATCAGTGGGCTAAGCATTAGTTAAATTGGCACACTGCTGACCTGTATCTCAGTTGAACCCAGATGAGAAACCCAGTGACATTATCTTATCTTTTCCAGGGTTTGTTTACCCTGGACCTGGGGCTCTCTAGGGCCATTGAGAGAGCACATTGAATAAGGCAGCTTCTGGGTCATTGGAGGTCAGGGCTGAAAGTAATCAGGGCACTGTGACCGCAGAGGATCAAGCAGTAAGGCTCAGCATAATCGGCTTGGGTTGGCCACAGACCTAGTTCAACCCCTGCCGGGAGAACCTACAGGTGCTAGCAGAGGACACTGGGTATAGAAGGCAGACCAAGTGACCACTCAGTCTTCTCTTCTTTTGCAGTGGGCACAGAAATTTGCAACGGTGGTCCAGCACCCAAATCCTCGACCTGCTGTATCCTGTAAAACCTATCTAGTGGCTTCTGGTCCCTCCTGCCACTTTTACTCACTGGAGATGGACTCTGCCTATAGCAGTTTGGTATAAGACATTAGGAAGCAGAAAAAAGAAAGATCAAATATAACTGAGTATTTTAAAATTTTAAAGATTTTTTTCAAATTAAAGCCAACTATGAATGTTAAACGGTGTAGTCCATTTTTATCTGGTTTGATAAAGTTCCCAAAGATCTTTACAAAGGATTTTGTGAGTTGTGCCTGAAATCAGAGCTCTATGCTTGTATGCTTGTGTATACAGGTATTCAGTTCCATCTGCTTTAGTAAAAGCGTATGCCTAGCAAGTCAGAAAATAGAAAAAATAACTTGCCAGTTTTACACTGCTATCATTTGATGGCACATTGCATTTCATCCATTGAGACTGCTGGGTCAAGGCTGTGAGCAGAGGTGAGATCAAACAGATGTGGCCTCAACTAAAGTAACTTGTACTGAATGCTTGGGTGGGACCCTCATGAAGGACGCAGTCAGCAGCTTTGTCTTGGTAGTGTAGGGAGAGGAGGAAGTCCCTCGGGACTTCACAAGACTCGCCTTTTAAACACGCACTCTGGCAGAAAGCAAACTCATGGGATCCCAGAATCTCTGTGAGTTCGAGGCCAGTCTGGTCTTCAAAGAGAGTTCCAGGACAGTGTAGGGAGACACCCTAGCCCCGCCCAATAGTCCTGGGACAGGTAGCAGGTGGACCCGGGACTCGCCCATAAGGGCGTGGTGAAGGAAAGCCGGGGTGACGTAGGGGAGCTTCTTAAGGGGCTGCACGTGGGGACCCTGGCCCTTTTGTTCTGGCCGCGCTGGCTGGGTTCTATAACCTAGCTCTGGCCTGTGTTTTACCTTGGTGTCTTCTGGAATAAAGAGACCATAATCCTATAGGACAGTCTCTAAAGCTACAGAGAAACCCTGTCTAGAAAAACAAAAAACAAAAAACCCTCATGGGATTCCAAAGACTTTGTTCTCCTGACAGAACACTAACTGGATGGGGCCATTCCTGGAAAGAGAATGCATCCAGCAGTTTGCCTACAGTACTAGAGAGAGGGGACAAATTTAATCCTCAGAGTCCCAGATAGTGGGATACCATTTAGGGGGAGTGGAGGGGGAAAGCAGCTCTTTGCTCAGCCTCTAAAACCAAACACAGGGCTGTGAAGTATTCATATGCTGCTCTTCTCAACTTACTAAAATAAACAAACAAACAAACAAATAAATAAATAAAATGCTGTTTACTGGCTTACTCAGCCTGCTTTCTTACACAACCTAGGACTATCTGCCCAGGGGTGATATCACCCAGTGGGCTGGACACTCCCACATTAACCATCAATTAAGAAAATGCCCCAGCCGGGCAGTGGTGGCGCACGCCTTTAATCCCAGCACTGGGGAGGCAGAGGCAGGTGGATCTCTGTGAGTTTGAGACCAGACTGGTCTACAAGAGCTAGTTCCAGGACAGCCTCCAAAGCTACAGAGAAACCCTCTCTTGAAAAAAAAAAACAAAAGAAGAAAAAAGAAAATGCCCCAATCCTGGGCAGCAGGACCAGGATCTATCCCTGATGCCTGAGCTAGCTTGTTGGGAGTCCATTCCCTATGGCAGGATGCTATGCTTAGCCTTAGTGCAGGGGGGAGGGGCTTAGTCCTGCTAGACTTTGTTGACTCCTTATGGGAGCCCTTACCTGTTGGGAGGGTGGACTGCGGGTCATCAGATAGGTGAGAGAACTATGGTTGGAATGCAAAATGAAATTTTTAAAAATTAATTAAAAAGAGAAATCTGCTAGACAATTCCTCAGTTGATGTTTCCTCTTCCCAAGTGACTAGTTTGTTTCAAGTTGAAATGAACTAGCCATAACAACAACTGCCAGCATACAAGAGCCCAGGGTTCTTATGCAAGGGCAACTTCCTTGAATAGCTTAGGTTTAGGTCACTTTTCAAGCCCCAGAGGAAAATTAGGAGTTGGGAGGCACAAGACCCACGTTATTATGAAGGCATCAACCCCCACCTGTCCTCCTGTACAGGGCCTGAGCTGCTGACAAAAGCAGGCTCGCTCACAGAGCAAGCTGCACCCAGGAGGCTAAACCACTCTATTTCCTTAGGCATCCTTGGAGCCCCAGCTTGGCCTTACCACGGCACCCCTCTGTACTGCTCAAGTGCTTCTTAGCAGCACTTTGTATCTGTGTCAGTGATGATCATTAACTCCTCTGAACCCTCGATGAAAAGCCAGAAAACAACCGCAGAGCTGGCTGGCGCCTAGAAGCAAACATCTAAGGCAGTAAAGACAGGAAGCCAGAGCATCCATCACACGACAAAGCTTTATTCATCCTCAGCGGCTAAGGACAGGCAAGCTCATGGGCTCTGCATCACTTGAGTATGGTGTCACCTTGAGGGCAAAAATCCAGAAGAGACATTGTCACACATTATATACACTTGGGCCACCTGCGAGGACTTCAGGATTGCAGTTTACTTAAAATGCAGAATCCCATTCCAAGAGAACCTAACTTTGTCACTAGAACCATCCTTTGCATCCCCACTGCCCTCTCCACCTGACTGGAATCGCAGGAAGTCAACAGAGAGGGAGGGGTCAGAGAGCCTGCTCAGCGGTAGCCTCTCAGAAGGCAGTGCTGCAGCGTGGCCCCCACATTCCACTGGGCTCCACTGAGGACAGCGCTGGACACACGTGCCACCCTGGTCCACTGAACTGCAGCTACTTCCAGAAAACCTGGGTGTAGGGGTAGGGGTTGCGAGCCATACCTTCTGCCAGTTCTCTCTCGATCCGCTTCAGCTCATCTAGTCTCTTCTTTTCCTCCGCTGCCACCCTCCTCTCCTCTTCTGCCCGGGGTTTTAGGTAACCTGGGAAGCAGAAGCAATTAACTTCCCTAAAAATGCTGCATGAAAATGCCCCCTCCAGAATCTCCAGGTAGCGGTTTCCACCTGCTCCCCTGTGGCCCCAGCGTCGCCTCCCTCCCTGGGAGCTGCAGGCCCCGGCAATCCCGCACGCGCGGTCCCCGAACTCACTGTAGCGTTTAGCGCCGTAGGCCATGCCGAGGACCAGGGCTGAGTATCGGCCGAGCTGCAGAAGAAACGTTAGGGCAGAAGGCGCATTACCAGAGGGTAAGGGCGTCGGAGATGGAGGAGCTGGGGTAGAGGGGGACAGGAGGGCAGGGGGTGCAGGGGTCGCCAGGCCCAGGTTGTGGCGCCGCAGCCCGGACTGCCTTGAGCCCACAGCCAGCAGTCTGGAGGGTGGGCGATGCTAGGTCAGGGTAGTGGTAAGGGGCAGACAAGGGCTCTGAGCACCGTGCAGCGACGGTAAGAGGGTTCACCTTGATCAGCGGAGAGACCTGAACCGGGGGTACCATCTTGTCCGTGACCTTCGCGCCGGAAGCTCAACTGAGGCGGAAGTCACAAGCAAGAGCGCCGGCTTCCTCTGAAGCCAGGAAAGCGCATGCGCCAGAGAGACGCGCGCCCCCTGGTGACCGGAGGGTAGCGGCGCGTCCTCACTGGCTGGGTACCACTTTACGATGCGAAGTCCTCGGGCTGTGTGTGCGAGATGACTTCAGGAGGGTGACACTTCAGCACAGGCATGTGATGAACGACCAACTCTGGAATCCGTCGCCCACCTCCTCTGGACTGGAGCAGGCAAACAATCCCTTCATCTCTTGGAACAGACGGGCACGCCCGCACAGGGCGGCCCTTGGGTGTAGGGGCGAGATTACAGACCTTGTTTTGCCCCCTCTTCCTCCCCCGCCGAGAGATCGTCAACCTTCCAGGCTTTTACTGCAGGTGCCTGCCCTGGATGCATATGGCTTCTGGCCAGCGCAACCGGGTCTTCTCGCTCAGATCGCACAACTTCCACCTCAGGTTTTGAGATCTTACAGATGAAGGTCATCCAAACGGGGCTGACCCCTGGGCCTCCCTGCCCTCACTCTCAGGACCCCAAGCCCTGAGCCTAATGACCCCTCTCCACCAGGCCTCGTGGAGAAAGACAATAAGCACCCAAACTGATTTTCTGCAGGCACTGTCCCCAGAGTAGGTGCCACTCTGGCAGCCACATAAACCTAGACAAACGGTTCTCAACCTGTGGATCACGATCCCTTTGGCAAGCCTCTATGGCCAAAAATATTTACACTACAATTCATAATAGTAGCAAAGTTACAGTTATGAAGTAGCAATGAGAATAATTCTGTGGTTGGGGGTCACCACAGCATCAACTGTATTAAAGGGTAGCAGCAATAGGAAGATTGAGAGCCACTGGCCTAGACTGAAGTTGTCCAGCGACGGGGCAAACAGCAGACAAGCTGACTACCAGCTGTGCCCGCTATTGGAATGCAGTCTCCGTGGAAGTCAGACATGGCAAGGCTGTGGCCACCCACTGGCTGACTTTGCCCCAATGCTCAGTAGTGGCCTGAGGTCTCCCTAAGGCTGTCTGTGAGCCAGCCTCCTCAGTTTTGCATTGCACCAGGGCTTGGAAAGGCACACAGTCCATAGGGATGGGGATCTTTTCCTGATTCTTCATTGAGTCCATATTTGTAAAGAGAATGTAACTCTCATTATACAGTAAATAAAATGCGGCAATGAAAACACCAGAGCTCATAATAGGTGCTCAGATGTCCTGGAGGAGCCACTGCCCTAAGGCCTGGACTGTGCCTACATTTGGTCTGCATTTGAAGTCCCTGGGCCTCTTCCATTGAAATCCTAGAAAGTTCCCTGGGCTGGGAACAGACCATATACCACAGGTGCACCACATAGTCTTTTCTTGCCCTTGATAGCTCTGCTCTTTAATTCCCTACCCCCATTCCTCCCTGAGCCTGAGTGAGAAAGGCAGACTCCTGCTCTCATGAGCCATTGTGTCCTGAGGAAACTGCAAAGGCATGCTGACCCTACAGGCACCAAATAAACTTCCTCACCTCTCATGGTCATCTGCACACTGAGTCCCTGATAACCTTAGGTGACCAAACAGTTTCCATTACTAGATCTTAAATCAGACTCTTCAGCAGCTGAGGCTTCCAGAACTGAAACTGTCTCTGGGGCCCAAGAGGAGTGTGGGTTGAAGGGTTGAGTGCTACCTGCAGGATTAGACATAGAAGAAGCACACACCACACACACACACACACACACACACACACACACCACACTGGCACAGCATGCACACGAATGGCTTGGCATCTGTTTTAGCTCAGGATCATTTGTGGGGGCAGCATACATGGTTAGGGTTCCACATAGCTCAGGGGAGGATTCTGCACCTGTTGGAGACAGCTGTATGCATAGTCTAAATATTCCCAATGTGATGCTGCTATCTTTAGTGCTATGCTCAGGCTCAGCCAAGATCCTCCCTGGGGTCTTGTGGTCCTCTCAAATTCAGAGCTTACCACCCCTGCAGCTAGGGTAAGCCCAGCCGAGGCCCTTTACTCTCAGCTACCATTCCCACACCTGAACAAACTCCCACCTCTGGTAACTCCCCCTCAAGGTCTGACATAGCATCTGGGAAGGAGCTTCTGTGACTGAGGCTATGACCTTGGGGGATAGGACAGGACCTCTGACTATGCAGTGTGGAAGATGTAACGGTTTAGAAATGTACCAGGGTGGCTGGGCGTTGGTGGCACATGCCTTTAATCACAACAGTTGGGAGGCAGAGGCAGGTGGATCTCTGTGAGTTCGAGGGCAGCCTGGTCTCCAGAGTGAGTGCCAGGATAGGCTTGAAAGCTACACAGAGAAACCCTGTCTCGAAAAACCAAAAAAAAAAAAAATGTACCAGGGCAGGGGTTGCCCGGCTATCAGGTGTGCACTCCATTCCCACAAATGTTTCATTTGTGACTGCTGAGGTCCTACTTGCTGTTGCCCCATCTGGTTTAGGCCACCAAAGTATGGGACTATGGAGATCACATCTGTTCACTTCATTCTACGTGTTGGCCTTCCTCATCCCATACAGCCTGCAGGGCCACTCCTGTATCTTCTGCCCTTACTCTCACCCTAGACGTCCAGTGTCCAGCATTAATGATGGAGTAAAAGTCATATTTCTTCCCTGAACTTTGCTGTAAGATGAGGGAGTAAGGGGAAGCCTGAGGACCATGCTTGAGGACTCCATTGCAAGCAGTCTAACCATCTTCAAGGCTCTTCCAACTCAGGAATGTGATTGCCCACCATCCAGCCACAGAGCTGCAAGCAGTGGCATCAGAATGGGTCCTGAATTTGCCAATTAATCAGGAAGTAAAATTAGTACTGTGAAAGACCTGATACACACAGAGCAAAACATAAATTCTTGGGCAAGAGCCATTCACAGCACCTCTGCTGGCCTTGAAAAGGTAGCACTCTATCCTCAACACCCATAGTTTCTGCTGCACTGGCAGTTGCCTAGGATGACTCAGACCCCCAGCCTTTGGCCAATAATGTGGCACAAGGTCCTGGAGATGTAGCATCCTTGGCAGACTAAAACTTCGTGGTACCTGGATTGAGATAAGGGGTATCTGAGTTACCACCAGGTTACCTAGGCTCACTCAGCAGTTGTCCAGTTCCGTGGTGTTGTTCTTTGCTGCAGCTTCGGGCGATGAAACACGATCCACCAAACTCAACAAACCCACAAGGAGTTTATTGGGAAGGGGAGCGAAGGGAGGGGTAGGTGTTAACTGATCAGGAGCAGGAATAGAAAGGCAGAGAACAGGGAGGCGCTTGCTTATAAAGGGAAAGGGAGCAGTTTAGAATGAGGCTCAGCAGTTGAGGTCATTGGCCCAGCTCCAAATGGCCCCTGCATGCAGAGTCCTTATGCAGCCACTTAACACATGCACGACATAGCCATGCAAATTTTGACAGCCTTTGAGCTGTCATAGATAGATCCAGGGGCAGGGAGAGAACCTGAGGATTAGAGGGGCCCCTATGACCAGGAAAGGTTCCCTAAGGAGAAGGCACAGGCCTAGGAGAGGGCTGGCACGGAGTGACAGGTGGGTGCTGAGGAGAAACCATGGGAAGGGGGAAGGAGAGGAGTCAGAAGCAGGTACAGGGCCAGGTTGCCCAGGATCCAGGGAGAGGGAGAAACCAGGATATCAACACCTGGGATGGCAGTCCTCTGCCTGCCCTCGTAGGAAGTGTCAACCAAAGTCTGAGCTATCCTGGGGGGCAGACAGCATGTTAGGACAAGCAGGAGTTGGATCCTGGGCAGGAAAGGCTCCGGCATGGTGAGCAGGCAGCCAGGGGGATGCTGGTAGGGGCATTGACATGAGTGTATGCATGTACTTACAAATGGTGTCTTTGTGTGTGTGTGCTCATGTGAACATACACAATGGTGTAGGTTTAGAGATAAAGGCCCCACAGTTGCCATGGTGACAAACTGGAAAGAATGAGGGAGGGGGGTCTGGGACTTAAGAACTGGATGCCAGGCATGAGTCCATCCTTGGAGTCCATTCACTCCAGAGCCCTCTAGGATTGGACATAGTGTGCTGCTTGAACCCTCCAGTGCCACAGTTCCCCCATCGTGTAAGCTGTCTCCCAAATCATGGGTTCTCCCTGAGTGTTCCCCCAGTTGCCCCAAGGCCCTCATCCTTGGGCCTCCTGCCTCTCAAACCAGCAGGAAGACCAAAGAAGAAAATGGCACTGTATACTCAGAGAGCACCCTCCAATGCCTTCTCCAACTCTGAGCAGACCCAAGTTCCAGAAGTTCTAGGAAGTGAGTCTGCCTTTGCTCCCTAGGAGCTGCTCACACAGTTGGTACAGGAGGACACGTGTGGCCTCAGAGGGCCTGTCCCTTTGATGGGGGAAAGGGTAGGGGCTGAGGCAAAGCTGGGCCACCAGTGGTGCAATAAGCCTGGCACTGACTCCCAGGTCTTCACACTCATGGGTAAGAACAGAGCTTCCCTGACAAGACCATAGGACATTAACCCTTCCCTGAGTGAGTGAAGTATAATAAGGACATTGCCCCTAAATGCTGACACACACACACTCATACTTAGGGGTGTTATGGTCACCTCTAGGTTTATTTAATTTTCTTTAGTTATTCTAAAGGACTTTGCTCTCTGAGTCTCAGGGCAGCTACTCAAGGCCCTGGTTTGTTAAGACCTGGCAGAGGGTGTTCAGGGTGGTTAGAAAAACCTGGAATGGACTTCAGGCAGGGACTGGGAAGGTAACCCAGTGGGTGACACATCCAGCTGTATTCCCTCCCTAGACATCTCCACACTACCCCTAGACTTACCTTGTGGGCTTGAGAGAGGGTGTGTATGGGTAGGCCCTATTCATCATCTCAGAGCCAGATGCCAGCCCTTCCTCCACCTGCTTCAAACCACTTCAGCTGATACTTAACCCACCCTGTCCCAGTGGCCTACCATGAGACACTCCTGAGGTGGGCGGCAGGAAGCTTTCGGCCCCACCTTAGAAACTGGGAAAGGCGGTTATATTTTACCTGGGATGGGGGTTCCCTAGTGTCCACCTTCCCTATATTTGAGAACAGAGACAGTCCTCAACTTTCGCCTCTCCTCCACAGAAGATGGTGTCCTTAGATTTGAAGTGACCTGATTGACGCCAGCCTGTATTCCCTACACTTGGGCCAAAGGGATCCATTTTATGTCTCCTCTGTCCTTTGTCTACATGTGCTCTGAAGCCACCCCGTGAATGGCAGATGTAGGCTGTCCCATGGGGCTACCTGCCAGAGTCAAGGACAGAGCGGGTTGAGGATGACAGTGTGGCCCCAGTGAACACTTTACCCCTACCCATGCTTGCAACAGGCAAAACTAATGTCCAGGACAAGGTGAGTGCCATACTTAAGGAGTCCTCAGGGCCCATCAACTTCATCATGTTCCTGAACATATTTGGGAGATGGACAGTGAGTTCTGTCCTGGGACAGCCCTCAGCTCAACCACCTGCCAGTGTTTAGTTCCTAATACTTAAAACTCCGAATATTTTTTAAAAATTAAAAAAAAACCCTCCAGATATTTTACAGAGTTACCTAGGATGTCTGAGACCCCAGGGCCTTTGGCCATTAACGTGGTACGAGGCCTTGGAAATGCACTCTTGGCAGAACAAAGCCTCCTAGTGACTGGGCTAGGGGAAGGAATTATCTGTGCCACCGCCAGGCTACCTGGGTTCATTCTGTGGTTGTTCAGTCCCCTGGGATGGTAACCCTCAGTCAACCTTATACAAAGTGGCAGCTAGAAGTCTGAGCTGTCCTAGGGGACATCTCTTGAGAAACCTCTCTCAGTAGTCCCCAAGCCCTATGAATCCCAACATGTCTCCCATCTACTTAACTATCTGCAGGCTCTGTCACTCTCAGAGCCCTAGCTCCCAAATGGAAGCCAGAGCTACCCATGTGGATCAAGAGAGGTCCTTGGGGCGCAGGAATAGGAAAGACCCCTCAGATGGCACAGCAAGACTAAGCACTTGACACTCTAGGACAAGACAGGACTCTAAAAGCCTTTAATGAGCAGGCACAAATACAGAGACCATCCATCCTAAATGACTTCAAGACCTTGATGGCAGTGGCAGCATCCACAAGGGATAATGAGTCTGGCTTAGGGGCCTGGGGAATATGTACCCCAAAAGAAATATAGTGCCTGGTCCCAAACCCACCTCACTAGCCCCTCTTGAACTCTACCTCCAGGGCTTCAAATAGCCACCCTGAGACCCTAAAAGCAGAGTCATTTGGAATAACTAAGGAAAAGGTCATCTTTGCCATGTGGGCCTCCATTACCCAGGGAGTCATTGTCCATCTGAATATTGCTGTTGTAAGCCCTTTCATAGATGGCTTACTTACACATAACACTAGGGAAACATTCTGGTGCCCTAGGCATTTGCCTCTTTCTCCATCAGGTACATGCTGTGAGTCATGATGGGTCCCAGGGACCATTAGGCACCTGAGCTTTGCTGACAGGTGGACAGGTTGTACACATCAGACTATCCTCAGGCTTTCCACAAGAGGAGCCACAAGTAGGAACTTCCCACTCTCCCTCAGAGCAGCTAATCAATCCCTTTCCCACTCTCAGCATCAAAGGTCTACTGATGTTTCAAGACAACAAGATGACTGCAATGAGGTTTGCCCAACCCCCAACTCCACCTCTATGGCTTCTACAATTCCAAGTATATCAGAGGGCAGCTAGGGGCAACATTCCCCTAAAAGGTTACACCCCACCCTGCTGCTAGCTAGCTCAATAACAGAGGCAGCAGACTAGGAGGTCTAGGTCCCAGCTTGTCTATACCATGTACTCCCCACCATCACCACCACATTTTTTATTCCCAATGTCCCATCCCCTCCCTCCAACCCCTCTTCCTTACATCTTCCCTTCTCCCACCCCTTTGTCTCACCCCCTTCCACCATCCCTCTTCTGACCCCACCTAGCATACATCCCTAGCCCCTCCACTGGCTTGGCTCTTGGCCCTCTACCCTCTCCACCCCTGAACAGGTCAAATAAGAAGCAGGAACCCATTGAATGGAGTTCAGTGCCTGAAATTTACTGTGTCTGGTCTGGAGGCCAGGAGACTGGTCTCTCCCCCTCCCACCACCACCAACGTGATGTTCCCACCAATACTCTACCCTTTGCGGGCTCAATCAGGTGAATGAGATGCTGGAGTTTGCCTTCATTATGTAGCTGGAACCTAGACTACAAAGTGCTGAGCTGTAGGCTCACCCACACAGAGGAGGCAGAGGAGGCAGCAGGATCTTCCTTATTCTTCAGGCAACCAGCTCAATCAAGTTGGACACAGAAACTTGCCCATGAATGTTCATTGGAGGGGGTGCATCTATCAGAGATCCTTCTGCTCCCTACTCTGCTCAGACCAGCTTACCACCCTCTGTGCCATCCGAGAATCAGGCTAAGTGTCTGGTCATACAGTTGAGACAAAAATCTTCCTACACCTGTCTACCTCAGACTGGCCATGCCATGGCCCTCAGAACTCCCTCAGTCTCCTGCCAGGAATATCCCACTCACTCCCCTGAACAGGCCCTCCCTACAGCAGCCACCACAAGTCTGGTTTGGCCAGGGTCCACCCTAACCAGTATTTTCAAAAGGCCATCCCATCATGCCCTAGGTATGCTAAGGACTTTGTGTCCCTGTCAGAGCTCTTAGCATGGCTGGCGTAGTCAGCAGACCCTAGCAAGCTTCTGCTTTGTTAGATGTCTCTGTCCATTCTGAGTGTCCTTTGTGAAGAGAAGTAGGGCCAGGAGCCTCCTGCAAGGCCCCAGCTAGAGGTGTCAAGCCAGGCGTCTCAAGGGGAGGCACTTGGGTAGGGCTTATTTTCCTTGGCTCCTTGGCACACATCCTGGGTGCGGGGGGTCCTCCAGACTCAGCTTCCAGGCGCCGATATGGAGTGTTGAAGAAGAGTACCAAGACACAGGTGAAGAGGGTACACAGGCCAGCCAGCAGCAGCAGGGACTCTAGGGACAGAAGTAGAGGCCTGTCCCTCAACTGCCCAGGCAGTCAGAGTCCCCAACTCCCACCATAGCCAAGTCTTGGTAGACCTGACCCAGTTGACCCCAGTGATGGTGACCACAGAGAGGTCTGGAAATAGTCGTGGTCTCAGCCCTCAGGATGTCCCCAGGTCCAACAACTGGGAATCCCAAGTTATGGGGACATGTATGCACTATTACTGACTCTACCCACTCTTATCTCCAAATCTCCATCTCTGTCAATCGCCCTGTCTCTTTGATCTTTTGTATCTCTGTCTCTATCCCTGTCTATCTCTGATCTACCCTCCATCTGTTCAGGTAGATTCTGTGTCCCTGTCTCTCTCTGTCCCTGTCTCTATTTCTATGTAAATATCTATATTTCTCTGTTTCCATCTCTGTCTCTCTCTATTTTTCACTTCAAGATCTCTGTCCCCTTTCTATCTAAGATCTCAGTCTCTATTTGCCTGGTATTGAAACATGTCACCCAGGGGTGGGGATACTGATGCTGGATTTTTGTCAGGGCCCAGGCATCTGATCATACTGCTTTACACCAACTGGTGCCTGCCCAGGAAGAGTAAAGAGCACCAAGCACCAAGATCCTCAACTGGGCCAGGCCTCCTAACACCCTATCTTCCTGGTCTCGTCTTAGCTTTCTGGAGCCAATGCCTGGGCACAGACACTCACCTGTCCAGTCTAGAGTTTCCTCACCCTGCTGGCAGGTAGAAAAGGATGGACCTGTTCGCCGCACAGTCAGTGCCGTCAGTAGCAGCATGATGAGCACACCTTCGGCCTGCCTAGATACAAAGGGCCCTCAGCCTGGGCAGCAAAACTCTCTGCCCACCACATTGAACACTATTTTGGGAAGGGAAAAACATCTCTGCCCACCTCTGCGACACCTGTCACTCCTGAGGCAGTACGCTGTCTCTGTCTACACGGACCCTGCAGCGGCACAGGCTTGCACACAGCAAGTACTTAGTACATGCTTATCCCTGGCCACAGCAAGCAGGTTCCTAGCTTCATGGCTCGGGAGCCATGGTCCAGGATCCGGAAGGGAAAGAGTCCACACCATGGGAGAAGTGGCCAGTGAGGAAAGATACTCACCCCAGGACAAAGATCAAGCCAGCAGAGGCTCCTTCACCCACAGGAAACGAGCATTCAACTGCCAGCTCCATAACCACAGGTGCCACTGAGAAGCCAAAGAGCCCAAGGAGGGAGCAGATGGCAGCCAATGCCAAGGTCTGTCCCTGCAGCTGGGACACCTGGCACCAACAAAGGGGAAGAGAAGAATGGAACAGGGATGGCAGTGACTCATGGCCCTCCCCTATGAGTTCCTAGACTGGGTAACACGGAGTAAAGCCAGTCCTACCCAGGGTTACCCTTGGGCAGAAGCCAGGTTTGGCACTGAAGCACCAGCTCTGAGAAAGCCACCATGGTACCTTCTGTGCCTCCCCCACCCACCTGCCATAGTATCCCTCCATCCTGGGTAGGTAGTTTCTGTTCTTGATGAGTATTACCAGAGCGAAGGCCACGAAGGTCAGGGAAGTCAGACAGAGACCTATCTTGGTGGCCTCAGTGAAGTGCTTGGTCCGATCCACATACAGGCCTAGAAGCAGTGCCCCCAAAATCCCAAACACGATGAAGAGAGCCCCACAGAGGCCTGAGAACTCCTGGAAGTGGGGAGGGCAAGCTTAGAACCATCAGAAGGCAGGGAGCCAACAGGGCTCCTTAGATCATATGTCATCACCAGGGCGGTTCCAGAGGACCAGTCTAGACAACCCTGTCAAGCTGCCTTCTAGGATGGATTTTCTGCAATGTGAACCCCACTAAAGGGAAAGGAGAATCACCACAGACAACCCCAAACCCTGGGTACATGCCTATGTTCCACAAGAGACCTACACCCACCACTGTGTCAGGAGGCAGACTGAAACAGGAGGCCGGTGTATCATGACACAGGGATGTATAAGCAGCCATGACTGCCACCCCCATGAGAGGCTGTTCATCTCATCCCTATCAGGACTGAACTGAGAGCTCAGGAGCAGTAGGAAACCCTGGCAGAGGCAGAGCCCACTCCAAAGGCAGGGCTACTACTTACATTGGAGTAGCCACTGGCACAAAGGATCTGTTCCAGGAGGGCTGAGAAGCTGGAGAAGACACCAATGCCACCACCGAAGCATATGGCCAGGATAACATAGGCCTTATTCTGTATGAGCTAGAGGGAAAAACAGCCTTTAATGCAGAAGCCCAAGCAGGCTTCTGACCACAGCTTCCCTGTCCCCAGAATCCATACAACCCACCAGTTTGAGTCCGTGGAGGAAACTCTCTGAAGTAGAGCTGGCAGCCCCTGCAGATGGCGGGCTAGGAGGCACACTCTCCCAAAGGCAGGTAGTGGCCAAGAGACAGGCAAGGGCAGCAGGGGCAATGTAGATACCAAGCTGGGGAGAGATTCTGAGTGTCACAAAGAAGTCACACTGACACGTGTGCCCCCACGTGTCTCAGCCTGCTCTGTCCACCTTACTAGCTGCCACCTGCCTTTAATCTCCAGAATCAGCAAGTCCAGCTCCTTTGGGAGGGCTGTATCTCTCCACCCTCATCTGTTCTTCATGGCTTCATGTAGAACTGAGCTTTCAAAATAACACTCAAGGATGAATCCCTCCTTGATAACACCAGCCCAACTTTCCAAGACTCCAGAATTATCCCCACATAAGCAGCAGATCATGCTAACACACCCAGGTATGCCATACCAACAAGAATGTGTATATACCAGATGCGTGTGTATGTGCATAGATCACACACCAGTACAATGTCCATACATATACATGCTCAAGTTCACATAGCACACATGCCACACATGCAAGATCATCATGAGCCCCTCACCATCATGGGGATGTCCTCTGCCTTCTTGACCAGGGCAGGAGACAGCACATTTGCCATAAGGATGCCCAGAGGATTTGCTGGATAGAAAAACAGCTATGTAAGCTCAGCTGTGGCAGGCCTCACCCCACCCCTTGGGGGAGAATCCTTCATAGCTCAGGAACCTTGGCCTTGGCCTTGGCCCAAGTTGGGGAGCAGAGGACACACATCCAGCAGGGTCTGTGAGCTGAGCCCAGGTTACAGGGATCCCACCCCAGGACTCACACATGGTGCCAATCATGTTAGCTGTAGCTCGCTGGTGCTCTGGAAACCATAAGGCAGCCAGCTTGGCTGGAGAAGAGATGACCAGGGTCTGGGCCAGGGCACAGAGGCTCTGCCCACTCATGAAGAAGGCAAAGGGATTGGGGATCCTGACATCCAAGCAGGGCACAGCACGTAGCAAACTCCCAGCAAAATTCAACCACGCACCCAGGACAGTCTGCAGGAATGGACAGTCAAAAGACTACATGCTGGTCTACACCTACATCTCTAGATGTCTATCCATAACTCATAGGGATACCCCAATATCTACTTGCCATCCCCAGCCGCTTCACCTGAGAGCCCAGCCAGTGGGGCTGGTGGATTCTAATCTGGAGAAGAGACCAGGATTCTGCACCTTAAGTCAAAGGGTCCCACCCTCCCCATACAGGCATGGGACAAGAGCTGACTTACCGCTCCACGGAGCCCAACAGAGTCCAGAACCCAGATGGCTGCCATGCCAAATGGGATGGCTACCACCAGGTAGACTAGTGATAGCCAGTTGACCTGTTCCATGGACAGGAAGAAGCGCTGTGCGATGGTGTCTGCTACAGGAGCAAAGCTGAGCCATAGCTATGGATACACACAAGTCAGCTTTGGGTCACAGGCACCACCCAGCTAGCCTTGCTCTTGCTGGAGCCTATGATCCCCATCTGGCTAACTCTGGGTAGGAACAGGAGCCTAATAGAAACTTTGGGTCACCCTGCTAGAGAACCACCCTCACCCTGTTACAATCCAGGAAAGCAGCCAGGCATGGCCCACAGCCTGCCCAGCAGTGGACCATGAACTCACCTGGTGAGATATCTCACCAGGATTGGTCTGATTCTCTGAGGAGGTTAAAGGCACTCCGTGAGGGATGGTGCCTCTGCCTGGGAGGCACTGTGTTGAAAGTGGTGGAAAGAGGAAGGTAGGCAGTTGAGACAGAGGAGCCAGAATCTCAGTGGGTGGGATATTCTGGACACTGAGTGGGTCATAGCACTTAAGGATGTAACATTGGAGCACACAGGGCAGGAGGGGGAGATACGGGAGTGAGGGCAGATGGTTGCCATGGTTAAATATTTCATGGCTGAGCAATGTCCTGAGACAAGATGGACAAGGAACACATTGTGGGGAGACTATGAACCTGGTGTGTGGTGGAGACTCCACGCCAGACATCCACATATGGCTAAATGATACCTTGGGGGCTCAGAACGTGCATAAGGACCAAGGAGGGATGAGAAAACCAAGACAGAAGAGTTCAGAGCCCAGGATTTTCTTTAGGGATCAATGGCATCTCTCTCTGCACAACATCCTCCTGTCTGTCTTAGATGTCACAAAACATAGGGACTCTGAAACCCAACTAACGGAAGAGTGCAAAGTTTTTCTGGAGGAAGTAAGGGGGGTTGAGTGGAGAACTTAGACCAGTAGGGAGAATAGATATGTGGCCCCAACAAGGGTGTGTCCCAAATCAAAGTTCCTGATGAACCCTACTCAGGATGACTGAGGTCCAAGCCACACCCTCCACAGCTGAACAGAGTGTGTCAGGCTTCCCAACCACCAAACCTCAGGAAACACTAAGGTTGTGCAACAGCTGCATTTCCTTTTTTTTTTCTCAGAGGGTAATACAAGGAACAGATCTCCCAGGCGTAGAAAGCACTTCATGCAATTCTAGTTGTCTACTGCCTGGCCTCATAGAGCAGACAGGGACCAGGTAAGTTTTCAGAACCTGCTGTGCTGAGCAAGAAAAACAGAGTCCATCTCGCAAGTCTCACAGGTATGTCCTTGCTCCTCCCAGAGCTGTGGCCCACATACAAGAGGGCAGAGATATCTCTATCATGTGTAAGGCAACAGATGTGGAAAGAAAAAATTCCACCCATCTCACTTACTGTACAAGAATACTGTCAGCCAGCTCTCAGCCTTGCCCTGGCTCACCCTCTGATCTCCTTCCCATGCAAATCGCAGAGCCATCCCTTGGTCTCATAGCAAGCTCTGCTATGCCTGCTCCTCAGGCTGCTCTCTCAGAACCCTGGAGCCCAGTCACCAACTACAAATGAGCAGGGACTCCAGGAAGCATGAATGAACACTAAGCCCATGGGTCACAATGAGGACCCAACCTGGATCATGACAATTTTTTAGTATCAGGGTAATACTCTGTTTGCTCCATACGGACAGTAGGACACCACAAAAGTGTCCAAGGCACTTTCCACATCTACAGAAGGTGAGATTCAAGTAGATTCCTGCATATATCTGTCCTCAGACATCCATCCCAAATCGGTTATGTTTCCTAATGCTAGAAAGGGGACCTGTGAGCCAAGCCATAGAGGCAAGTCCCAGCTAGCAAAGGCAGCTACCAGAAGAGAAGTTTCTGATATGGCTACAGTCAGTAAACTCCAGGACCACAGCAGGTATCGCCTGTATCCCTACCTTTACTCAAAGCTGCTTCTTCACAACCAGCACAGCAGGGAAAAAGGAAAGGCAATGAGAACCAACCTACTGCTGGTTCACGTGGAGTGCCCTGGACAGCATCTACTCAGAGGGCTGTACTTGCTCACGGTCCCACTCGCTTGGCACTCTCTGAGCTGTATGTCTTACAACTCAGAGCTGCATGGCCCACAGGCTATGCATTCAGCTAAGTAGCCACATGTAACCTGAAGTTCCTTCACACGCAGTAGGGAGACCCAGCGCCAGAGAGGTGCAGGGTTGGCTGTCTCTGAGTGGTAGATGGTAACAGCTCCACATTCTCTCTCCACCTAGGCTCAAGTACCTGTGGACTTGTGCCTAGGGAGAAAGGATCGCCTACAGTCCACCTGTGCCTGACGGGATAAAGGAGGAGGGTCTGTAGGCCCCTGACATTAGCATTTGGGGGCTAGGCAGAGTATGAGAAAGCAGCAAGTTGCACGGCTGGGACCCTTGAAACAGACTTGTCCCCCTGGCTGGTCCCTCCCAGGCGGGACAGGCACTTACCCCTTCTACAACCTCTTGAGCTAGAAGAAAGGTCGGTTTCCCTCAAGGAGTAAAAACAAACTAGGGCTGGGGCTGCTGTTAGGACCCCGCCCCGCCCGTCCCAGCGCCCGCCCGAGTACCATCGCATTGGAGCAGCTCAGGAGGCTGACCACCAGCAGGAAGACCCAGCGGCGCGCATAGACGCGGAGACCAGGCACCTCGTCTACAGCGGTTCCAGATGTTCCCGGCCTGTCCCAGGCTTCCGGTCTGTCCCCCATGGTCCAGACCATCCTACTGTCTGCAGGCCGCCAGCTTGCACTTCACGGCAAAGCGCAGCGCAGCGCGTGGGTGGGAGTCCCAGGAACAGGGCCGGCAGAATGATCTGGTTAGTCCCCGCCCCGAAGGACAAGTTGGGTGGGAGAAGCCAGGGTTACCCTTCGATAGAGGCCAAGGTGGAAACCGGAGGGATAAAAGTTCCCGTAAGAGCTAATGTTACCACAGCCTGTGTGGCTGCACCGGGAACGTCATCCGCGGTGGTAGGTGCCAGAAAGGGGTCTCTACTTCAGCAAAGTCTGCATTGTTGAAAGGTCCCCCAAATTCTTGGGGTCCCAAGCAGCAGCCAAGAAAGGCCCGACGCCAACAAGGAGGAGGAGAGTGGGATCAATTTTACAAAAGTCACCAGACTCCTCCTAGAGGAGGAAGAGGCGGGGTGGAGGGCGAGGAAAGGCTTAGCCTGGCTACACCAGCCCCGCCTGCAGGTGGGCAGCCTCGAACCCCACTGTAGGCTCTTTAATTTGCTTTTGTACCCTATGGGCAGTTGCTGTCTGTCATCTTCTTTGCCAGCAGAGGCCTGGCAAAGAAGTTAGGAGTCACCTGATTCAGGGCTAAAGCAGCTGACAGGAGTGATCCCAAGCTTGCCACTGTGTTTGACCTGGCTAATCCCAGTGGGCCAAAGTTCCTGTTCAGACTAGTGGGAAGGATGGAAGAGCTGTTGGGGCAGGAACAGGCCATGTTGTGGAGGGAGAGGGGGAACTGGTCAGGCAGGGGAGAGAGGTGCATTTCTCTCAGTGAGAAGGCTCTTTTTGCTTCAAACACATCCCTGTGGTCTTGCCCTCAATATTACTATTCCTTTTTGTTCATTTCTGGGGTTTAGGAATTTGGTTTTTGAGCCGGAGTCTCACTTGTATAGCCTAGGCTAGCCTCCAATTTCCAGTATTCCTGCTGTTTATCTTCAGTATTGGATGGTACCACCTGTCAACCACACAGGCCTGAACAAGCTTGCTATGTGTTCTTCGCCCTGATTACCCTCAGTCTGCAGTTCATAGTCACTTCCATAAAGACCTGGCCTCTCACTCCCTCCCCCTATGACCTGGAGCTGCCTTGGCCTTGGGACTCTGACCTTCTATCTGGGAGACTGAGAGGGTAGTTCAGGCTTCACTGTTCAGGGTCCTAGCTTAGGACCTATCTGTCACCAGCTTCTGATTTAGGTAGCCTATCTCCAAATGGGGCCATCACCATGGATACTTCCTGTATTGCCACATCTCTGTTTAAGTAAACCTTCTGACCTGCCTCCATCTACTATCTTAGGGCTCTTGCACTGAGTAGGTGAGTTCAACTAGGTTATCAAGCGTAAGATCAGTACACAATCAACAGCTGTCTTCCTAAATACTCTACCAGTGTGTACAACATGGAAACCAAAGTGAAAAACAATACATTCATGATCTCATCAAAGATAATACTCAGCTATAAACTTAACAAAACAGGTATAGCACCTATGTGCTAAAAGTTGCACAACACTAATGAATAAAAACAACAAAGACCTACAGAAATGGACAAGCATACCTTACCCGTGTACTGAAAAACTCAGCATGCTAGCTGATATTAGTTTTCTCTGAACTGACCTATAGGGTTAATGCAGCATCTATCAAATCAAGAAGCTTTTCTACACACAGATGGGAAGAAAATATTTGCAAACCACATATCTAACAAAGGACTACTATGTAGTGTTTTTCAAACCCAATTAGAATATGGGCAAAAGACTGAAGAGAATAAACAGATGGCAAATAAGGATTAATGGCTAACTTTATTAGCCATCAGTAAAATGCTAATTAAGACCACAATGAGCTAATACCATACTTCTTTTTAGAGTGCTAAATAAAAATACTGACAACTCTAAATGTTGTCAAGGCTATAGAAAACAAGTTGGCAGTTGCTCATAAAACTAAGAATGGCTGGGCGTTGGAGGTACACGCCTTTAATCCCAGCACTCGGGAGGCAGAGGCAGGCCGATCTCTGTGAGTTCGAGGACAGCCTGGTCTCCAGACCGAGTGCCAGGATAGGCTCCAAAGCTACACAGAGAAACCCTGTCTCGAAAAACAAACAAACAAAAAAAGTTATCACATAACCCAGCCATGAGTATTTATCCATGAGAGATAAAAACCTGTAGCAGATTTATTTGTCATCATCCAAAAAGTATAAACACTCAGGTGTCTTTCAGTCAGTGAATGGTCAAGTAAACCACACTAAGAAAATTATTCAGAAATGAAGAGCAAATACATTCAGCAACCTGTTTAATTATGCAGAGTGTGGAGATAAAAGCCAGCCCTAAAGGGTATATATGGTGTGATTCCATTTGCAATAGTTTGGTGTGG